ACACGGCCTGGCACCAGCATACCTTCAGGACTGTCTCTAACCATATATACCCTGGAGAGCCTTGGACTCCACAGACCAACATCTACTGGTAGTCCCTGACCCTGTTTAGTCTCAGCCAGGGCCAAGGCCTTTTCTGCCCTGGACCCAGCCTGGTGGAACGTATTCCCAATTGAGATCAGGGCCCTGTGGGATTTGTTACAGTTCCACAGGGTCTGCAGTACGGAGCTGTTCATCTGGCCTTTGGTTGAGGCAGCAGATGTTTCCACCATCTCAGCCTCCCCTGTCCATAGTAGGCCTACAGATGCCTACTAACCTGCTAATGTCTAACAGGAAGTGTATTGGACTGTTCTGGAGAAATGTATGTTTCTTAGCTGCCATCCTGTTTTATTTAACTGGGTTTTAATTATATATTAATTGTATTTTATTCATGCTGTGAGCTGCCCTGAGCCCACTGTGGGATAGGACAGGATATAAGTGCAATAAATAAATAAATAAGCAAACCGTCACAAACGTTTAGTTGCCAAATGAACTGGTTTGGTTTGCGAGGTGGTAGAATGTCACACACACACACACGGCATGCTAAAGACACCAAACTGGCAGGGGATCTCTGGTGACTTTTCTCTATCTGCCCTCCAAGTTTGGTTTGCGAGGTGGTAGAATGTCACACACACACACACACACGACATGCTAAAGACACCAAACTGGCAGGGGATCTCTGGTGACTTTTCTCTATCTGCCCTCCAAGTTTGGTGAGGATTAGATTTACAGGGTCCAAGTTACGACCCCCCCAAAAGGTGCCTTCAGTAAAGTGCTCTCTGGGGAAATTACAGGTGCAGCTTCAGGAGTGTACAAAATGGATCCTGTGCAAGGTAGAGACATCAAAGTCACAGAGGACCTCCCCTGGATGCTCTTTTACATGTCTTCCAAGTTCTGCCCCCCATTGCTTTGAAGTTTGGTAAGCATTTAGATTGAGCAGAAACAGTCTGTCTGGAGATTTATACATTCATGAACTGCCACAAACTACAAACTACTTGAAAGTTCGTGGAAAGATTGTACTAGTTGATCTGTTGCAAACTTGAGTTCACATACTACGAACCGGATCGGTCACAAACTTGAGTTCACATACTACGAACCGGCCAAAATTCTTCACAAACTTTAGTTCGTGAGCTGGTTCTTAGTCCTTCCTAACCCAAAACTCTCTCCCCTAGATGCAAAACAGACAGTATAATACAGTCCCAATTAGCCTAAGCTGGTTAGGTTACAAACAGAATGATGGGAGAACTGGTTCAGTGCTTATTTTCAGTTGGGTTTGTTGGTTTTAGGGTCAAGAGCCTGTTTCAGAAACTAGTTTCAAGATCTAGTGACTGAACCCATATCTAAAATCATTTTCTGGGTGTGATCCCAAGTTCTATGAAACTGTTGCCTTAACTTTCCTAACATATCAGTAGCAGGAAATGTGTATTGTTTGTTTTACAAAATAAAATGGTTTTAAAATTTAAGCTCCTCTGTGGACCATTGTGTTCTTAAAGACAATAAAAATGGGAGCAATGTAACTGGTACAATACGATGCCATGTGCCTATGCCCCCACCCTGAAAAAGGCACCTGGAAGTTAACAAATTGATTAAAACTGTTGGGTATTAATCTGGTCTTTAATCAATTTGTGAACTTTCAGATTTATTTTTGTGTCATGATTATTCTTGAAATCATATGTATGACAGCTATACATCTGATATGTTGGGGCACCATCAATGCAATCCGGTGCACTGAAATACATATACAGAGCCCCTTAAATTAAGGAACAATTCTATTCTTTCAAGTTAGAGGCCCGATTTGTATATGCAAAAGAATGTGAATGGATAGATCAGGAGAAGAATATAAAAGCTCATGTGTATATATGTATATAAAAGCTCCTGGAGATGAATGTGGATATAAAACCTCCTAGAGATTAATATAAAAGCTCATGTGTGTGAGGGATATATGTGTGTGAACTATTTTGAGCAATGAGAAGATACGAACAACTGACGTTTGGATAATTTGAGTACTATTGTTTGACATTCACTTTGTTGGCCTCAGCTGGTTTTAAACATAAGCCAAATTCAGGAATAAAACTTAATTCTTGTTAAGTAATCAAACATTTGAAAACGTTGTAAGGAAATTCAGTGAATAACAAGGAGGAATAAAGTCCCCATTGTGTAGGGTAGCTGAATCCAGGCAGCTGCCAGTACTTTTAGGTCTAAGAAAGAGTAACAACTGACCAGAGAACCACTGTGCTACAAATGTGGCAACACATTTTATTTATTTATTTATTTAGAGTAAGATGTGTTCACATCCAGCATGACAAAATTTGTACAAATTTCACAATTTAAAAATGAAGTTATCACAGCAACTTGTGATTTCACACATTTATAGCAAAATTAAAATGTCAACAAACCCATGCCGTGTAGTACAAAAATAAATCAAACCTCAGTTCCACAGAGAGCACAATAAGTAGTTTATACAAAATTCTGTCTTAATAAATGATCACTTAAAATTAAACTTAGAAATGAATATGAAGAATAAGTTAGAATAAATAAAACTCTGATGACTCACAATAATTTCAGATGAAAAGGTCAGCATTCTAATATGTGACACTTTTGTGATCCCTATATAATAGTCACAGATAACTTTTGATTTGATATTATGTACCAACATTAGATGAGCAGCGCGGATTTGTGCTTAAAATCCCTTTTCCATTGTACATAGGTGATAACAATAAGAATCCAAAACTGATACTATCTATTTCTCTACAGAAAGCGTTACTATATTGGCAAAGAAGCTGCAGACACAATGCAGTGGAAAAATGCATATGCCATTATGAACAATGAGAGCCCTAAAAGGAGGCTAGGGCAAAAAGTACAATATATATGGCAGAAGGTGAACAACAAGCACCTTGCTTCAGCTCTCAAAAAGGCAATTCTGAGCATGGCAGCTACAACTAATAGCACAACAGAAAGGAGGGCAATATACAGAGAAGATCCTGCAGAGCCCCCAAAGTAATTACATAATCTTCTCCCAGCTAGTTATTAAAGTCCTCGTGGAAAACTGTAAGCTTTTTGTACAGTGAATAGTATAAAGTGCCGCTGGGATATACATATATTTATACATATATATATACCGAGGTTGAGTATTGTATCAGAATATTTGTTGTGAGATCCCTGTAGTCTCCCCTTAGCAATATTACTGGATTAGCCATCACGGCTTCCACTCTAATTTTTTTTCAAATTTAGTGTCACAAAGCTAATGACACGAGAAATTGCACACCTCCGTATGGATATATAGGGCAAGGTAAGTGCAAATAGTCAACTGGCACATTGTGGGGACAATGACCCTGTAAGTCCTGTTCTGCTAAAAATATTTTATTTTATTATTATTATTTTTTTACAAAACCCATCTTTTTTCATAACAAAATTTTTAAGTACTTTTGTACTTTCTGCATAACATCAAGACATGGAAGGAAAAGATATGCTATCAAATTGAAATTAATTCAACATCTGACAAAACACAACACACCATCTGTATTACTAGTTTCAATGGAAATCAAAAATGTTCCAAGAAAAAAGTGTTCTTATGCATACGTATAGTGCAGTTATTTTGAAGAAATAACAATCAAATCTGAAAAAGTACAATACGTTTTTAAGCTTGAAATGATGCAATTTAAAGCAAAAAAAGTGCCAAAGTATATTTAGTTACATTAGATTTTTGATTGCATTCATTTTTTGCAATAGATAACAGTAGAACAAATAGATAGCATATGGAAATGCCACAATAATAATGATTGTACGCCAACAAAAAGAAGCAGAACCTAAACAGTGAAAAAAGGGAACAAAGTGAAAAGATCAGATCAAACTCTGAACTGAGCTGCATGCCATTGACTATGCTTCATAGCAATGAATACAGGTCAGTAACTGTTTTTGAGAAGAAAAGCATTTGGGGTTATTCCCAAATTAAAAACTTTTTTTTAAAAAGGCAATATATGTTTTAAACTATTGCCTTTTGTCTTAAGAAGGAAAGACTGCATTTCTGAAAAAAAAAATAAACAAACTACATTGCTGTAACAGATAATTCAGAGGGACACTTTTAAGTCCTGGAGAGATAAGAGTATGTTGGCTCCAAAGTGTATTTGAAAAGAAAAGCTGAAATCTTCACGTTGTCCACCTCTGATAGAGCTCCTGTCATTATGGAAGTTCCCATATTCATATCATGCAATGCTTAGAAGTTAATTAAAAAGTGCCGTTTAAGCTGCTTTGAATCTTCTGTCAAGTTTCCATGGCTTGATGTTGTCTTACAATAAATTACTCCTTTTACTTCTCACATCTAATTCATGCCCTTTGCTTGGAATTCCAAAAACCCTCTTTTTATTGCCCCCACCACATACCATCCTCTGAAAACAAAAGTCACACAATATTTTCAAGCATTGTTCAAAAATAAAGCATTTTTGCAACCAATTCTTGCTATGAAACAATATGCACACAAAATGTATTTCTTAAATCCCATAAAATCCTCCAGCATGAGGCAAAATGAGAGTGTCTAAAAAGTGGCCGCTGACTGCAACATTGTCATTCAAAGCGGGGATTTTTTTTTGTCCATTTCAGTTCAAAATACTAAAACATTTAATCACTAAAGCATTAAAAAGAATTTACACTCTATTTATTTTGATCAGCTTACCTCTTCAGAAATATATTTACCTCAAAAATGTGCATACATTAGCAGCTATAAACATTACATGGCATATCACACTATGTCGGCTTATATGAAAACGTACAAAATGTGAATGTATTCAAAAAACTATTCTGCAGTTACTATTTTTAAAGCAAGACATAAAATCATTATGAAGTCTTGTAAGCATAACACTGTTTCAAACAGAAAGAAATATATAACACTTTCTGGTAAATTACAGCAGCAAAAAACAAGAGGCATCCTTTTTTTAAAAAGGTAAGATTTTCACCACTACAGCAGCTGTTCACACCTGAATTCCTCTCACAGCCTGCTTTATATTTTCCAGTAGGGCTTTATTTTCTGGACTCTGATAACGATCTTGATTTGTATACATGTCCGTCAAAGTGGTCACGTAAGCATCAAAATTTTGTTCATTGATTGGTTCCTACGAGATATTAAATAGTAGTTCATATACAACTTCTATTTGCTTAATTGTATATTCATTTATGCATAACATACTATGACAGAACATTGACACCATTTTCTTAGCATTTTTAAAAGTCCTATGTTAGAACATACTTAATTTTATAGGAGACTTTGGAACTGGCCCACCGTGTCTTTTTTAGAAGTTAAATTTATCTTTATGGTTGCAGGGTTGATACCGCAAATCTCCACCTGGTTGAGGAGCCATAAACATAAAAACAAAAAGACATCTACTGCATGAGGAGGAGGAGACTGCCAAATCCCTTAACTTGTGCCCTCAGTCACTTACCATATGTGGTAGCTGGATATTAGCTAGACTATGAATTAAAGACTGGCTTAAATTGGCCAATTCATGAAGAAGAGATTCATTTTGTTGTTCAATTACTTTGTTCTCCTCTTCTATTGTCTTCAGGTTGCTCTCCATTGTGGTAATCTAAAAGGAACAGATTTGGGCACAATGAAATAAAAGACAAAGCAAGAAACTCTTTATGTCAATGTTGACAGTATGCTAGGAATGGAAAACACTCATTTTGTTTACATGAAATACCTTTATACTTTATATTTTTGTTTTTTTTATCTAAGAGTTGTACTTGTTTTCTGCAAAAGGACACAAAAAGCTTGTTTGGTAGTCCTGATAATGCTGATGTATAACTGGAACACTGTTTTTTTGTTGTTTTTTTTAAAAAAAAACAAACATCCAGAGGGTTTTTTCTCCCAAAAAATATTCAGAAACTGTAAAAGATAAAACCCCCAAATTTCCCCTTGTCTAAGAAAAATACAGGCTGAACCTTTACTTATAGCAGAATGAGATGGTAGTCTTCAGGTAGCCGACTACCTGTATAAGTTTCCCAAATGCTCCATGCAAATAATACCTTGCTAGTAGAACACTAGTACATCAGGGAAACAAGTTTTAGTCCATCCCTGTCCTGTCACCTGCTTTGTTAGTTTTATATTTTAAATTGTTTTAAATATAGAAAAGGGTTTAGAATGTAATTTCCCCTACCTATAGTCCAAAATTGTACAATCCATTCTCTCCCCAACAGTTAATGCACATATATCCTACATGTATGTTCATATATCTATTTATACAAACAATTCCAAACACATTTACTTTACAAATAAAACTGGGGAGGACTTCTGGTTTCAGCATTCACCATGGCAGCTGCTTTCTCCCAGAGCTCCAGGAGATGACCGCCAGATCCTGCGGTTGGGAGGGAGCACGACTGTCTGTGCCACCCCCAGAGCCCTTGCGAGGGGCTCCTAGCCATGGGGCGCTAGAGTGCCTTTCCTCCGGTGATCCTGCCAGTGAAGGGGGGCTACTTCTTGCCTTGAAGGTCCCGCTGCAGAGCGTCCTGAATGGGAACTAGAAATCGCACACCGGAGCAAGTGCTTGGTGGCCAAGCGAATTGAAAACAATGAACTGTGAGTCAATGTTTAAGCGAGAAACTATCGATGAACTGTGAGTCAATGTTTAAGCGAGAAACACTGAAGAATTAGCCAAAAACCTCCCCTTTGAAAGCGAGGAGGGAGGGAACTCTCCCCCGCTAAGAAAAACTAAGCAAACTTTGAGCCATTACATAAAGGGGGGTGAGCTAACGAAGCAAGACGGACTAAAATAAAGAGCATTTAAGAATTTACCAGGCTGATTTAAGAGTTTCAGAGATCGTGATAACTTTTATAAAAAGTAAACAATTCCCAAACATGGCGCCCACAAGGAAGGATGAGAAAGACAAGCAAGTGAAACTGAAGCTTCTTGCCAGAACTGCCAGCCCAACGAGTTCTGTGCCTAGACAGGACACAACTACAGAGCTGCAAAAGATGCTGACCGAAGCTTTGTGCCCTCTGCTGGAACAAGTCACGACATTGCACCATAAGTTCGACGCACAGCAAGCTCAACTAACTGAGATAGCTAAAAAAACAGATAAAACTGAGCAAGAACTGAAGGAAGTGGATGCCAACACCAAGCTTAAAAAACAACTGCAGATGATGAAGAAAAAGAGACAAACGGAGGGGTCTCATTTGTTACAGCTACAAATGGAAAGAGCAAGCTATGGTCTAAGATTTCAATGTGTTCCGGAAGAGAAGGGGGAGAATCTGAAGCAAATTATGAGCAAGGCTTTAGGCCCTATGGCATATATAAAAGCGGACATACTTCAAAGCGAAATTGATACAATCTATAGGTCATATTCAGATTTTACAAGAAAGAATAATCTGCCAGGGGAAGTCATTATACGATTCTCCAGAAGACAAGTGAGAGATCAAATTCTCAAAGCGACAAATGGAACTACCTTGAGAGTCAAGGACAAAGAAATAAAAGTATTGAAGGATATTCTGTTTGAAATAAGAAGGAAAAGAAGAAAATACAGAGACTTGGTATTATTTCTACAGAAGAACAACATCCCTTACAGATGGCTTGTACCCGAAGGCACACTCTTCAAATTTATGGACAAGAAAGAAAAAATTGACTCTGTTGAAAATGCACGTGAATTTCTGCATCAACATAGTCGCCCAGCAGGAGAAAAAGAAGAGGAGGAAGAAGGCAGCACCAAAGAAAGAGGGAGCAGTGGCATCTTCAGATGAGAACTCAGACTCTAAACTGGGGGCGGCAGCCCCAAAGACAACCTACAACTTGAGAAAGAAAAAGTATAAAAATGAGATGTTATTGCACTCTGAAATCTCTTTCAATGTTTTGTTATAATTATTTCTTTTATTACTCTCTAAGAAGTCAGATACGATGGTGTTTAATTTTTTATTTAAGTTTTAATAGATTATCAAATGACCACATTCAATGAACTGAAATAGAATATTGAGTTAAAAGCTAACTTGTTAAGCAGTATGTATGACCACCATCTCTTGGGTTTTTAGTGGGTTTTCTTTACTTTCTCCTATAGTTTGTAGATCCCCTCCCTAATTTCATTGTAGTTTATAGAAAATGCAATAAAAAATCCCCTACGGGGTTGGTATAAAAAAACAACAACAAATAAAACTGAGGAACAGTACCTAGATAAATGTGGGGTTTAAAAGAGACGTTCAACTATACATGCACTGAATGTAGCATGAGAAATAACTCGTGAATAAAGAAAAATCAAGAGTACACTGTACACAGATTATACATATGTTCACTGTGATTTGTAAACAGGGCTTAGCAACTGAATTGGGTGATTGGAGGTTGCGATGGAAAGGAGGCTGTCCTGCCCCTGAGGGGGGAAAACAGGCACTCAGCTGAGCCTATGAGAGTGGTGCTCTAGCATCCAGTCACCATTTGGGGAGGAGGAAAGGAATACTGGAAGGAAGCACATTGGGACAGAGTTCAGATCTCACTCAGGCAGAGTGCACATAGTCTTGGGTCTGCTTCAGCAAAAGAGCAGGCAGTTTGAAGTCTGCTTGCTATTGTGGCCCTCTACTAGAGTAGGGATCTTAATGTATGAACTGGACATCAGCATCACATCCAAAACCAGGACCATAGACTTGCAACTAGATTTTCAAATAATTAGTAATTTGCATTAGGGTTAGTTGTTGTGAGCCAAGCCTGTTATAATTAGGGGTGTGCAAAAAAACCCACACCCCACCCTCGGTATTTTTCGGGTTTGGGTACATTGAATCTAAAAAATATGGGTATTTCCCAATATTCCCAAATCCCAATATTGGTATGGTATTCAGATTTGGGAAATATTTGGGAACCCCCCTTTTTTTTTTGCTCCATTATACCCTTTGGGGACTATTATCGTTAAAGGTTCCCATAGGGTATAATGGAGAATTGATCTGGGGGTATCTGGGGCTCTAGAAGGGCTGTTTTTTAGGTACAGACACCAAATTTGCACCCACAAAAAAGGTGCACCCATTCTTCATTAAAACCAATGGAGGAAAAAAGAGATTGTGGTCCGTTTAAATGTCTTATCCAAGCTGCACGACTCCCATGGCTTGGAGACCTCTGAAGACATTGAAAGGACTCATAGTCCCTTTAAACACCTTCAGGGTGAACTCACCAGCCCAGGATCGGCCGGGGCAGTGGGAGCTCTCAGTTCTGCACTGCCCCAACTGATCCTCACTTGCAACTTGGAGCTGCAAGAGAAGATCAGCTGGGGCAGCACAGAGCTGTCAGCTCCCACTGCCCCAGCCGATCTTGGGCTGACTCCTCTTGCAGCTTGGTTAAAACCAAGAGGAGCCAACCAGCTCCACACTGCCTCAACTGGGGCTGGCTAGAAGTACAACCGATACACCCAAATAAAAGCCTTTTCTGGATCCTGGAAAGCTTCTTTGGCTACAAATATCAGTTTCCCAGAGGGTCTGACATCCTTCCTATAGACATCAGGTATGCTGAAAATTACATGTCCTACTGGGGTGGGGGTGATGAATCTTTCCTCCCTCCTTCCCTGCCACTACAGCAGTGGCCAGATAAGAAAAGGGGAGGGGTCAGGCAGAAGGCAGGTAAAGGTCTGGTGATGATTTAGAAGAAAAATGTGACACTTCTATGGCTACTCTTTTAAGGTCAATATTGTAAAGCTAGTTATTCCTAATCATGTAAACATTTTTTAAAATTAGCAAGAATAAGACAGAGGAAAATGTTTAATTTTTCTAAAAATGGAAGTATATGTAAAGCCATTGAAGGTTAGGGCTTCATAAAACTGTTACCTGAGTTCGGAGTTTAATCATATCAGCTTCCATCTGAGAGTTGGATTCATTTAGTTCTTTTATTTCTTCATCTAATTGTTTAATTTCTTCATCATTCTCTATACCTGCGCAATAAAAAGGAGATACTCAAATAATTAGTTTACAAATCCGATTTTAGCAACTGATTCATTTCCTAGTTTGGGGTGAAGCTCACTAAAATATAATGTTAATTATGATTTATTTATTTAATTTCTATCCCGCCCTTCTCGCATGTGAACTGAGGGTGGGTTACAACATATATAACTCACAACAATAAAACCAACTCTGATACTATAAAGTCATTAACCCTTAAAACAAGATGACATTCTGAAAAACCACTTCCCAGAGTACCGGCACGCTATAACGATAGGGAGAAGAGAGGCCAGAGCCTCTAATTCCCCCCCCCCGATGGTACAGTCCATTGCTCTCAGATAGATCCATTGCTCTCATTACAGTCCAGTTACTCAACAATTTACAGCAAATTATTTGGGTGATTGTTGACCTGTTTTCCAAGCAGGCTCACTTTGTCTCGTTTGCGTCTTTGCCCACAGCCAAGGCTTTGGCTAAAGCGTTCTTGCTTCACGTGGTGCGCTTGCACATGCTTCCGAGCAAGATTATCTCTGACCGGGGCCCCAAATTCGTTTCTAAGTTTTGGGGGGAGTTGTTGAAACTTATGGGCATAGAACAAGCATAGAACAAGCACTGAGCAGTGCTTAACACCCCGAAACTGATGGACAGTCGGAGCAAGTGAATCAGACTTTGGAACAGTATTTACGTTGTTTCACGAATTATCAACAAGATGATTGGGTAGACTTGTTGCCGCTAGCTGAGTTTTGCTACAACAACACTTGTCACTCATCCACGGGGGTGTCCCCATCCAAAGCTCTGTATGGCTATGATAGCCCCCCAGTGCCGTTCCTAGAGAAAGATTCCTCGGACCCAGGGAATGCGGCACGTTGGTATCAACAACTGAAAGACTTGTGGCCCTTATTGTGTAAAACATTGGACTCGGCTAAGGAGGCTTACAAGGCTCAGGCTGACAAGAGAAGGGTGGAGGGTTGGGCTCTGCAGCCTGGTGACTCTGTGTATCTACCCAAAACATGAAGGTTTTAAGACCCAGCTGCAAACTGGGATGGAAATTCATTGGACCATTTAAAGTCAAACATTTGATCAATGATGTTGCTGTTGATCTTGAACTTCTTAAAAATCTGCGAAAGATCCATTTTGTGTTTCATATCAGCCTCCTGAAACAGGACCCAGGTTCGAGCCCCTGGGGTCCTTCGAAGCTGGTACCCCCTCCTCTCATGGTAGAGGGCAAAGAACATTTTGAGTTGTCTAAAATACTGGACTCTAAAGTTAAACATGGCAAACTGTATTATTTAGTTGAATGGGTGGACTTCGGATCCCAGCACCACGAATGGGTGGAAGTAGGGGATATTTGGGCCCCTAAGTTCTTGCAAGCATTTCACAGGGAGTTCCCGGGGAAACTGGGAGGTACCCCGGACTAACCGGGAGTTCTCCCGGGCAGACCGAGAGGTTGGTCTTTGAGGGGGCAGAATGTCAGTTATGCTGCCATATTGTTTATAGCTGCAAGGTTCGCATGCATGACCTGTGTACCAGTGGATGGCACATTCCTTTCCCTGCTTCTGCCTTCGTTATCTCTGACCTTGTAGTCTTGCCTATGTAGTGACTCCCCATTAATTAACTGTGAGACTAGTTTCGTTTACCAGGCTTCGCTCTGTTCTGTGATTTCCTTCCCGCCCGCGGGAGTCAGGCCGAGTGGCCCACCGGTGGTGGTGGGGCTGGTTTGAATGCACTATATCTCTTGATGCTTGCCATGTATTAGTTATTCCTAACAGTGGCTCCGTTGTAACCAACCAGCCACAGCCGCCAGGGCCCTGCCCAAAATATTTGGGGCCGAGTCCACCGGTCCATTAACAGATAGAGCTGGGTGGCATCAGCATATTGATGACATCCCAGCCCAACCCCCTGGATTAACTGGGCAAGGTGACACATATAGTTGTTAAAAAGCATCGGGGAGAGGATCGCCCCCGAGGGATGCCGCAATCCAATGGATATCGCGGAGAAACCTTCTCCCCCAGTGCCACCCTCTGTTGCAGAGAAACCTTCTCCCCCAGTGCCACTCTCTGTCCCCAACCCTAAAGAAAGGAGGAGAGCCATTGCAAGACAGACCCCTGAATCCCCGCAACAGCAAGGCAGTGAGTCAAGAGATCAAAAGCTGCTGTCTGATCAAGAAGCAGCAGCAGTGCTGACCCGCACTGATCCAGCTACTTCCAGAGGTCATCTGTAAGGGCAACCAGAACAGTCTTGGTCCCATGGCCAGGGTGGAAGCTGGACTGGAAGGGATCCAGGAAAGAAGCGTCATCCAAGAAAGCCTGCAGCTGCTCGGCCACCACTCTCTCAACCACCTTACCCAGGAATAAGAGTGGACACACTACTGCCTCCTTCAGCCCCCCTGGGAAGACCAAACATCAGGGAAAGGTTTACAATCTCACACAGGGTGGCTCATACTCCATCTCTGCAGGCCTTAATCAGCCAAGATAGGTATGGATCGAGGAGGCAAGTGGTGGGCTTCAAGTCTGCAATGATGTTGTTGACCTCCTCCTGAGTGAGGCAGCTGCAGCGGTCCAAGACAGGACCAGAAGACAGCCAAGGTGAAAACTTATTTGAACTTCCTTTTTAAGGCAGGCATTCACAAGTGGTAGTAGTGTTCTAAATATCCAGTTTCACTGTGAGCTAGGGTTGCCAGCTCTGGATTGGGAAATACTTGGATATTTTTTTTGGGGGGGGGGAGCCTGGGGAGGAGAGGGATCTCAGCAGGGTATAATGCCATACAGTCCAAAGCAGCCATTTTCTCCAGGGGAACTGATCTTGGTTGTATGGAAAACAACTGTAATACCAGGAGATCTCCAGGTGTCACCTGAAGGCTGGCAGCACTACAATGGGCTCTGTGTTCATATATGGCAAATCCTGCTAGGTCTCAATAGAGCCCTGTTTTCTTCACCACCTTGTGCATATACTTTAGCGGTACGTGTACAGCTGTAGTGCTGGACACATTTTGCATGGCTGACAAGCTTTCTTTAAAGCACAAGTTTTACTACTACTTCATCAGACTCTACAATTTATTTCTAAAAAAATTTCTTTAGATTCCACCTCCCCTTCTGTACATGGCCCATTGCGTGTAGTCTTTGATCCACTCTCTGAAGCCATGTGAAGAATTCAATATAAACATGCTAGAGCTGCTTCAGCATGAAGTCAACATGGAATCACAACATGAAAGTACATTATGTTATCATCCAAACTCCCAAATGGGTAAGGAGCCACTGGATCAGGATGATCCAGACCACAACACGACTGGGCAAAAAGTTAAGGAAAATATATGAGCAGACTGTTACAACATAAGCATTGGCTTGGTGATGGTTACAATGGGATAAGAGCTCTATTTATTGATTTATTTTGGCTATTTATAGTCCATCTTTCCTGCT